TGAAGAGCTGCTTCCACAGTTGTACAAACAGACAGCACCCAAGAGCTGGTGCAATTTCAGCTTTAGTCTGCAGCTACATCCCACCTCCTTTTCCCTTAGCAATGCCAATGCAGAGGCACACAACCTACATAGCCACCTACACTGCAAAAAGAAACATGATCTTGTAGACTGCTGATAATTGATTACTTCTGTTTAAAAATACCAAGAATACTAAGGACTGCATTAAGCAAGGGAAAAAACCAATCATCTGTTTTAGGGAACCTTTAGTGTACTTTGTATGTGTCTCCCTTTGGAATCAGAAGATTTTTGTGTGAATGAAGTCCAAAAGGAGAAGAACACCACTAAATCTGTCCTATTTCTCTCTTAGCAGTGATGTGCTTGCTGTTTCTTGGAATTTACACATCTAACAGAACTGAAGCCACACTGACTATGTGGACTGCATACCTTCCTGGATTTCTCATGTTGTTTGGGCAGGCTAAGAGCCTGTCTTTGTGTGTGGCAATCCATAAAATGGCCTCACTGGGTTTCCTCTAAGTAAGAGAAATTCATCAAAGCACATCTTAAATTACTTATTATGGCATCATCTTAGGCTAAAATGAGAGCCCACATCAGGAAAGAAGCTGTAAGGGATGGGAAGGCGTGGGAACTGAAAGATGACACATGGTAAGAGATACCATGTGCCTAAAGAGAAACTGCTCTTTCGGTTTTACAAGATCTAGCCTGCTTGGGATACCCTAACAGGCATCATGGAGAGCTTGTTTAGGGTGTGTGCAAACCAACTGGGTGATCACAGGGACTACAACAGAACAGCAGCTGACACACTAATGTGAATAAAATGCAACTCTACTTAACTCTATAGATACAAAACTAATGGCTACTTGCAAAGTATTTTAGCCTTGCTTTATTCAAAGTCAAATAAAAATACTAGATACACAAATGATCCTTATGTTCAATTAGATTAAGGATTTTACTTCCTTAAATTCCTGATAATTTCTTACTAGACTTGGTATTTCCATGGGAGCAGTACAAGGCTTCCTTTATCAGTTGCAGGAACCCTTTCTGCCTGCCCATCTGTAATAGGCACAGTTTTGATTTTCTCTTTGCCATTTCAAAATTAAAGAAATACAAAAACAAAGCAAACAAAAAAGATAGGTCACCCACTGGAAGTAAGCAGTGCTAAAAAGCATCCTAGGCAACTTTATTGTACTCTGTACAAGATGATGTTCTGACAGTAAATTTTATGATCTTATATCTAAAGCCTCATAATAATTGTCACTGACTCAAAAGCTAGTGAAAACAAAAGACCTTGATTTTCAAGAATCATGTAAGGAACAGTGAATAACACTTCTGTTTCTTAACTGCTACCTTTCCATTGCTGATGTTCAAATTCATTAATTAAAATGCTACTGTTTGTATTTTATATGTAAATTCAAAATGTTTCTTCTGACAGAAGAGAGAAAAATGCTTTTTACATTTCTTATCTCAGGAGATGCCTGAAGAGTCCTGTAATTATCCCATGTTTTCTAATGCTGTAGCTCATTTCTGATCTGGTATTTTATTTCAGCATAGGACTGCAGAGCAAGGGGACCCCAGCTGTTTTACAGTACCTGTGGAGCAGGCTGATACTGCCACCTTGGGGAGGATTTTTTCCAGGTTTGAGGAGCCCATGCAAGTGTCATGTAAATCAGTTTGATTTTTCCCTGTCATAATCCTCCCAAGAAGACAACTTTTTAAAATCCTCTGCCCGTGCAGTTGTAAGACCTTCCAAATGTGTTCCAACTTGGATTGTATTCCTTTCACAATAATACTGAAAAGAAATGCTTTTTTTAAATTTCACCAAGTTTTAGAGCTCATTCAGGTAGTACCTCTTTTACATCACTCTTAATTTTACAGCCATCTTGCCATTACAAAAGCCCTGTTCTGCATCCAGCTGGGCAAGCTGTATTTTGCATACAACGCTCCCTTTTTTCTGGTATTCTAGTTTTTTTTGGTAGTCTAAATCCTTGTCCCTGGCAGCTAAAATTATCTAGTTAGATGCAACTGCCAGGACATATATGACCTCAGATGTCATAAGGGGCATTACTGTGCAAAGGAGCAGTCCAATGAAAAACACAGATCTAGACTAGCAATTTAACAAAAGTCAAGATCCATAATTTATGAGACTGATCTACCCTTTTGCTTTGCAATCGAGTGACTCCTCATCCAGTCTTCTTTGAGTTTGTATTCACCAGCAGGTGAAGGACCTTGCCATACACTTTCTATATAAATGTGCCTTGAGACACAAAGGTTGTGTACAGTACAGAGCTCTAAGGCACTGGGAACCATAAGAAGTTGCCTCAGGTACATAAAATTACAGGGACAGCTTTCATGTCTGACTTCTCTCTAGAAGAGGCAGGCCCAAGAACACTTGAAAAACATTCAGTAACAAAATTTTTTCCATTGTCACCTTCAGCCAAGTAACCCAAATGAGGAACTCATTCATGACTCACAATGTGAATTGACACGAGGAGCTCCTACCTTCTGCCAGAGCACGGGCTGTGCTCATGGCTCCACAGCAGGACACAACGGGCTTCTGGAGGAATTTCTAGGCTTCTAGAGCAGCCCCCCTTCACTGCTGTGGCTGGCAGGAACAGCCCTGGTAACGTGGCAAACCAACACTTACAAGCTCCCACATTGAGCTACACCTCGGATCACAATGTCCCCAGCCAGGACTGGGCTCTGGAAAGCACATTCCTCTTTTCCTGCCACCACATACAGCTTACACACCAGATTCATGTTCTTACTGACAAGTATCTCAATACCCTTGGAGTAAACTTCTGCCTGCACCCCTGGGATTTACAGAGAGATGGCTGATCACTGTAAAAATATCGGACAGGCTCATTCACTCTCCCATTCTAAAACTACAGCCTGGTCATTAAAGCACAAATTTGCATTTATTTTCTAACCAGTTACCTTCCCACTTGTGGAAAATTGGAAAAAAACAAGTGATAGGTCCTTCTGAACAATCTTCTATTTCTGGTTTGAATGCTACTATAGCATGGCAAATAATGATGCTTGCAAGAAAAATTATTAGGCTAACAGCCATTAGCTAATGCATACCACTGGCAGTTCTGCAAGAAGTCTTCAGTTTTCTTCCTGGTTCACAAATACTTTCTGTATTTTAATATATTTGTTATTATTTTAATCCATCTTTGTTAAGCAAACATCTTTTTATCTGCAAATGATTTACACTGTGCTATGAAAATATTGTAATTAGTAATTCATTGCAAAAATAAGAGAGTGCATTTCCTATTCACATGCACATATGAAGACACATTCAAGAACTCGCAATACAAAGGAATCCCACTACTACATTTATTATTTGCACATTTAACTGCTGGTGGAATTAATTTACTTTTAAAAATATCAACGTCATGCAATCACTTAAGTGACTTCAAAAACAGTATTTGCAGCTGAGTTACAAAAATTCAACCGTGCCAATTACTGACCAAACATATGCAATTGAATGAGGAGCTATCAGTAATAAATTAACCAGATTAACGTGTACGTAACAGTCTCAGCGTGGTACGGGGCTGCTGTTAGTTTCAAAGTTCACATATGAACTTCTTTCTATACTGCACATGTGGTTTATGAATGAAGCCTGAATGAAAGAAGAAATTAAGGGAAAATAAGGTAAGTGACCCAAAATGAAACTAATCTAAAAATTTAAGCGTAGACTACTTACAGGGAAAAAACACCAAATCTTTGATTATGATTTAAAAAAGGAATGGATGAATCCATGTCCACTACTTCCTATTATTATGCTACAAGTGTACAATGCATATCTAGACTGATAAATAACTGAAGACAACCATTTCATATTTCTTAAAAGGAAATTCATCATTGAAAAATCAAAAAAAACCTCACTGTGAATCCAGTAAGGAAGATTATCATATACATATTCAATGTTGACTATAACAAAATTAGTATGTTACTAGCTCTTGCATCTTTGCTGTTGTACTGAACTTATTTCATAATATTCATTTAGGCATGGAATTTATATGAGAGAGAAAGCTTAAACTAAACAGCAAGAATCTAAATAATTAATCGGAGGAAATCCCAGTCTGAAATTGTCCATGGCCTCTCTATGAGTACCTAAACATAGTATCTTAAAACAAAAAAAAAATTCTTTCTGAAGTTCACAAGTCACAGAAACTTAAAACCCGCTATTTGCCACTATGGTTTTACCTTCTCAAACATATCTCAACTTATTTAAATAAGAAGTTTTCCTGTTAGATGATCAGCACACACCAAAACCCCTTCAACCCCTACTGGGTTACAGAAAAGTACAAAGAGAATGAGAGGTCTTGTTTATGAACAAATAGAGTAACTGGAAATGATGCCAAGCCAGCTCCCTCTCTCTATCCACCAGTCTATGTTCTTCTTTCCCACTTACTGCGCTAATTAGTTGGTTTAGAATACATTTCCAAAATCTCATTTACATGAGATTGGCTATTTCAGCTCTCCTCTTTTTTTTTTTAATTGAGGTATTTTTCTGCATCAGAAAGCCCTTTCAGACTACCGTCTATTTCAACATCAGTAGTAGCTGATGAAAAACATATTTTAAGCTGTGAAAAAGTGCTCCCTTAGAATCTACTTCTCCTTGATTATTCATTTCCCTAAAGCAAGTAAATACCTACATCCTGAAACACTGTCACTTAATAACAGCAGCATCTATTTGTCACCATTCTTTTCTTCCTTCCCTAGTTTGCCTCCTTTTCCTAACCTACTACTGTCCCAGAATGGCAACAGTGTGTTGCCCAACTCCTCCCCTCTCTGTTGCCTCTCCACATTATTGCTTCTTCCTAAAACTCTTTTCACATTTCAGGCAGGGAAAAACACTCAAAAGACATTGAATATTGGAAATTCTTGCCTCTTCTTCCCCCCCACCCCCCGAAGCTATCTGAAGCACCTAATGTTATTTGTACTTAGTGACAGGTTTGTGGACAAAAACACTGACAATGGCAGACAGCAATGAGATGACAATCAACCTTGTTGTGCTTGGAAAGACTCAGAGTGGCAAAAGTGCTGCTGGCAACAGCCTGCTGGGCAGTGCAGACTTCGAGAGCCGTCTGTGCCCCAGCTCTGTGACCACACGCTGCAGCCTGGGACGCAGCGGCCGCATTTCGGGGCTCATCCGGAGGAACGGCCGCGAGTCAGCTCTGCGTGTCCGAGTGCTGGACACCCCCAGCTACCCTCACAGTGCTCTGGGCAAACAGCAAGTGAGGGACACCGTGAGAGCAGCCCTGGCTCAGCACTTCGGGGAGGAAGGCCTGCACTTGGCCCTCTTGGTCCTCAGGGCTGACCTGCCTCTGTGTCCAGATGAAAGCCATGACACAGTTCAGCTCATCCAGGTAACAAACAAACAAACAAACAAAAGAAGTCTTTGCCCTAATGGCAACTCTTTCATCCTCAGGTGACAATACAATAGCTATGGAAGAGTTGACTCTTCCATAAAAGAAAGGTGAAATATTTTTTTTCCAACAACAGCCTGATGAATTGCGAGTGGCAGACACTAATTTCAGAACAAAGATTGTAATTGATTTTGAGTCCTCAGCAAATCAAAGCTCTCTCCTCTCTTTCTGAAACTGGTAACTCAAGACTTCCTTGGGCAGCTTAAAGGAAAATTTTGTATGTGCTTGGTATTTTTCATCCCTAGGGTCTAAAACAGATTAATCACCATCAATACACCAGGTGTTTTTGACACCCCATTTACCTTGGAAGTAGGCAGACATCCTTTAAAGTAGTTTTATATACTGCAGCATTTAGGTTACAGAGTTAAGATCACTGCAGTGTCCTTTACTACCAAGGTAGGCTTCTTGTCATATACAGGAGTTAGCAGGATTGCCCAAAGTCGTAATTAAATTTCCACCTGTAAATTAAAGCCCAACCTCTCTTATTCCTATTAAAATTTTCTGTACTTTATGAAAGAAAAGCAGCTCGTCCTCTCCATTCTCCTCCATCAGATAAATCACAGAAGTTGAAGAAAACTCTCTGGCCCATTATTGAAGGTGCTGCATTTGATTTGTGTTTTTCCTGAATTGCTTAGAATAGTTGAGTTTTATGGATCACAGTTGGAACTGAAGTTGATTTTACATAGAAATTCATAATTTATTTTTTCAACAAAAGGTGCTTCAGTGTTTTCAAAAACATTTTTTTGAAGAGCTCTAAAAAGTGTGGCAATATGAATGTGTGGCAACTACCAATTTCAAACTAATGTGTGACATGGTCAAACAACCATTTTTCTTTACTTATACGAAGATTTTTTAACTGGAGACATTCTGTTAACATCTGTAGCCAGGGAACAGAGAACTGCTAGTACTGCATGACCACATATTTCCACTGAAATTGGATGTCAATGTCTCAGAAAGGTGAAAAAATACCCAGAAATTTCAGCAACTCGGATAACATGAACTGGATTACTGCCAGGGGAAAAAAAAACATACATGTAAACGGTCTGGTAATGTACAAAGCATATGAAATGGGAGTGGGGAAAAGAAATAAGAGATAACTAGTTAAAATTTGCTTTTCATTACAGGAACTTCTGGGTCCCACGTGGAAGGATTTCACTGCAGTCCTACTTACTCATGCAGACAAGGCAGAAGAGGCTGGATACAGTGAGGAAACATATTTGCACAGTGCCTCAAGTACCCTGTTGTCACTTTTGAGCACAGTGCAGCATAAATACATCTTCCTAGACAACCACAACAGCATAATTAAAGAGGAAAGAAATATTGTCTTAAGAAAGCTCTTGAATTTCATACAAAGAAATAATTATCAAGTACTACTTAAACACAGCAAGGAATAAAATTAGCTTTAAGGTGCTCACTTGTCTATTTTCTATAGTAGGTAGCATCTAACAGAAATAAAAGAGTAAAAGCCATCAACTGAAAAACTCCACATCCATATCAAACATCTTTGAACACACAATTAGAAATATCTCTTTCTTTAGCTTATCAAACTACTTGCCTTCCACAGAGGACCTCACACTACTGCATTCAGAATCTAGATTTGGCCACAAAATCAGAACAAGCTAGTGATCCAAAATCATGCTCCTAATGTGTGTGTAGTTACAAATGGGATTTTGCACTACACCAGACTGTATATTCCAGTTCACACAGAATACAGATCTGGAAAAATAAAATAAAATTTTAAAAGAAAAAAAAAGGTAAAAAAAGAAGTAAAAAATGCGTGAGTTCAGACTCAGGAGGCCTCTTTGCTCAATTCTTCAAGCCTTCAGAATTTCCTCTGAACTTCCATTTCTAAAAAGAGCTTTCCGGTACTAAAAGCTAAGATTTATCTGTTGTAAAACTATTCCCTACCATGATTCAAGATTAGTTATAACTGAGTTCTTGAACTACAATGATTTTATTTAATAAGACATTATAGCATATACAGTTTACTAGGCAGATAAAATGGCTTCAATGTGCTTAATACTATTCAGCACATTTAAAAGAACTAATTACTATTACTTATTGCCAGATGCATGAAAAACTAACAGGCACAAACAAAACTCATTCAAAAAGAAAATCTGTTCATATCCTCTTTATGCATGTTCCTTTTAATCTTATATCACTGTCATTTTGTTTTCTCTCCACTTACTGGATGAAGTTCAAAGCCTGCAAAATTTAGAAAGGCTCAAGTTTGTTTTTAATTTTAGTATTTAAAATAGTATTTACTGTTTCAATGGTTATACAGCAACAATTTAATTTAATATTATATGCAAAAATATCCGAATTGTCTCTATATAGCTACTTAAAAGAGTTATTGAAAATGGATCCAAAATACTTATTTTCATATTACTGAAAGTAAGGAATTAAAAGAATGATTTTGAGGCTAATAGCCTAGCAACATGACTACTTGTACAACATTACTATGAAATAATTCTAACTGTAAAAATTGAAGAAGCTATTTCTGTTAAAACCAAAGCACGTTTTGTAGAAAACATCATTGCATAAAAGCACATTAAAACAAAACAAAAAAATCAATTCATTTTATATCCGATTGAGCACTGGAAACAGATTTTTTTTTTGTTTGGTTGCTTTTTGGGTTTTCTTGCAGGCTGGTCTTTTGGGGTTTGAGGGGTTTTTTATTTTTTATTAGTTCCAGGAATCTATTATTAATTATTTCTTAGTCCTACCTATTGGTTTGGAAGGATATACCTAGATAGACTAGATAAAGAACTATTCTAGCAAAGTGGCAGCTTCGATCTTAATGAAATTACAACAGTTTCGTTCTGGGGACATGAAAATGTGTCCACTTGAACATCCTAGGGCATAAACCACCATAGTTTAATCTTACAGTTACAACTGACTGCAGACTACAGAGAGAACACAGGCAAGAACAAAGGTGCAGAGGCTTACAATACACCTGAAAACTGCTTGGAAGAAGAGGAGAAAAACTATTACAAAGCGACTAGAAGAATAAAGGCAATTGTGATCTTCACTAACCAGCTGCTAGTCCTGCAATTAGCACACAAGGAACATGGCAGAATATCTTCCTTATTTCCTTTAGCTCTTGCTAAATAGAAGCTCTACACCTTCAAGCTGTCCAGAAAATTTACTTGCCTGCCTGTGGTCCCACCACAAACAAGCCTTGGCAATTAAGTTATGAGCACTGAGTGGTTAATAACTGCTGACAGCACACAACCTCAAGGACAACAAGCCTACTGAATGAGTGAATTGTCAAAATGTTGGAGATGTAACATATTATGGAAAAGAAGTAAAAAAAACCAGGTCTTAGCCATACATTTCATGTTTTTTATTCTGCTTGCATCACTTTCCATTTCAACATCTGTACAAGTTTCTAATAACCATTTATTTATTTATTTATTTATTTGATTCCGCTGTTTGCCATGGTCTCTGCCCTGCACACTCCTTTCCCTTTCACTTCAAATGGAACTCCTTTGTATGTAGCAACACACTGGTCATTGGTATGAAGATCAGGTTGGATTTGCTCCCAAATCTTCTTCTTTGGATTAAGTTCCTTCTCAGGATCTCCTGTTTCAAAACAAAGAATAACCTCATAGCACACAACTCAGAACAAGAGCACCATGTACTTACACATCTATGACAGCCGACACAGCATCACTGCACACACTTTTAAGGGATAGGACCCCTAACGTTCCTTTTGATCCTCAAAATGAAAACTTTAATTGGAATTAGGAATTGTCTAGGAAATGTCTCCAGAACCTCTCTGAAAAAGAGGATCTTTCAAGGTAAAAAGGTTGTATCAGACAACAAGCAATGTCAAAAGGAAGAAATTAAACCATTGCTGTTAGTTTATACTACAGTCCAAAAGAATTCCCAAGAATTAAGTACATAGGGACCACAGAAGTACACTGCTCACCAAGACAGGTTTGTCAGCATCTTAACTTTAGAAATGAATGATGTTTTTATAAGAAATTAAATGCACTTAGCAGATGCTGTTACAGTTGTGGAGTACTGAACTTAGACAAGAATAGTCCAGAGGTAGAATACTGACATATAATTTTAGCCCCGAGTTACACACTGTTCTGCTATGCTTTGTATTGTTTGATGACAAGCTCTGGTGCCCATAACAACAGAGGCAGTAGAAATTGGCTAGAGTTTCAGCAATTATGGTCTCAGGCTTGATAAGCTTCAGTTTCCTGTTTCCATGGATATATCATGAGATACCTATACCCTAGTGGTATTGACAGTAACTAACAACATTAGCAAATCTGATTATTTAAGGATCTCTACTGACCACAAAGTGCAGGCTTCTTCTACTAATGTTTTGAAATTTTGTCAACAAATTAGATAGCATAGTGAAGGATATTTTTTTTATTTTTAAATAAACATGAAATTCAAAGTACAGACACAAACCAAACTAAATACAGGGATTTTAACGTATCTTCTTCTAGTAGTTGGTTGAAATTCATCACTGCTTGCTAAGTCCTGACTGACTGACCAACCAGTGGTTAAATCCACTACTCTCATTCCAGCCTGTCTTATGCCTTATTGGTACTCTCCTGTAAATAGCTTCCATAGTTCAGTCTACTTACATTCTCAATGCCTGCAAACCTGAGCTATTTCTGTCTGTATGGGTATTCTGTAGTGTCTGGGTGTCTGTGTTCTGTAGTTTCTATATATGCAAGAGAAGCAGACTAGGCCAGATTTCTCTGTGAAGTAAGCTAGTGTTATCAGAGCAGTATCTAATAATGCAGTCAAATTATTTCACATCCAGAGTGCATTTAGTATTTCAAAGAAAAATCAGTCACAACATTAATATTTTTATATAATATTTTTAAGTAATATTAAACAGAGGAAAAAATTTGAATACTCTAATTACTTAAATAATTGTACTACTAAATAAAAATTATTAAATGTTTAGAGCTAATTGTGCATTTTCACAAAGATAAATCAGCTTAATGCTCAGGTTCATGAACAAAGGCAAACTTCGATTTAGACCACAGTGCATGCATACAAACTAATAAAATCATTAAATAGAATGTTAAGTGATCCATTGTACATTTTCCTTCCCCTCCTCAAATATAAAAAGCATATGATTTCTTTTTTTCAGTAAGAAAACCTCCTGACTTTTATTATAAAAAACAGGCTTTGGATGTTAATAAGTTTCTCTGGAATCCTGCGTCAAGCTCCCTTGGGATCTGTGGTGAGCTCATATTAGATTAGCATAGGCACCAATTTTAAATACTACCAGAGCTTTAGGCTGTGCATTTTCCTATGCCTTCTCCTCACTGCATTCCTTCTTCCCAGAAAATATTCTTTAGAAGAGTTTCTATAAATAAAATAAATTGAAGCTTTTAATGGCTTAATCACTTTTCCACTCTTTTTACCAAAAATGGGCCAAATAAGAGGTCCCAAATTTTGTTAAACATATCATTCCATCTCACAGCTTTATTACAAAGAATTTTCATAATAAGCAAGAAACCTCTCCACTTTGTAACAGTTAAAAAACTGCTGAAAGAATACATCTCAGCACAGCAAGGGGCAAAGGACAGTGATGTGTGACATCTGTGACTTTACTTAATGCCACTTGCCCCACAGTGGATTGTAACCATGCAGCTGAAGGAAAGCATGCATACAGTCTAGCTTTGATTAAAAAAACCTGCTAACTACAAGCTAACCACTGCACTCCAGCTTTACCACTTTTCATTCTTTTAAAGAGATACTAATTCATTAAATTGCTAGTGATTCTTAGACCTGAATGATAATTTAATAATCTAATTTAAGTAACAGGTTTTTGGTTCCTGTGGCATCAAAGTATCTGATACTGCTATCAGAAAAGAGATTTCAGAGTTAGCTATAAATCTTAAAGTATTATTGTCCTCTTAAGGCAATTACTGTGCAGGAGGTTATAGAATTTACATACACATGATAGAAGAATTCTTACATAGTTTAAAAATCAGACCTTTTCTAGTGAAGATGGATAAAAATTTGGTAAAGTTCTTAGTGCAAAAAAAGGCTCAAGAGACCTTGGAGATTCATGCACTGGAGTATAAGACACTTCAGTATTAAAAATTCCACTGAGGGCAAAGACATCAATTAAATAAACAAAACAGAACAGTACTCCAGGCAACAGCATTCCTTACCAAATCACTCCTCAATAACACTCAAGATAGTTCTAGGTAAACACTCCACTAGCTACAGAAAAAAATTTAATTGGTTTGAGACAAGATACCATTTGTTTACTTTGACTAAAATGGCCAAAGAAAATTAGTCTGTATCTCATGAATATTTTGTATAATGGAGAGAGAAGACTTAAAAATAGCTCGATTCCAAGCTGCTTGATAGACAGCTGTGTGCATTTTAGAATTGCTTTATT